CATTTTAAAATTGAGTTGTCTTTTACTGTTGAGTGCTAAGACCTCTTTACATATTCTAGATACAAATCCTTTATCAGATATATGACTTGTATTTCCTCTGCAGCAGCAACATCAGCAGCTGTGGCTTGTTTTTATACTTTCTTGTTGGTATTCTTTGAAGCACAAAAGCTTTTCATTTGGTAAGTTCCAGCTTATCTTTGTTGTTCTTTTTTTGCTTGTGCTTTAGGTGACATATCTAAGAAACCATGGCTTAATTCAAGGTCACGATGATTTACGCCTGTTTTCTTCTGAAAGTTTTATAGTTCAGCTCTTACATTTCAGTCTTCGCTCCGTTTTGAGTTTATCTACATCTGTGGTATAACTTCATCCTTTTGCATGTGACTATACAGTTGTCCAGCATCATTTATTGGAAAGACTATTATTTCGCCATTGAATTGACTTGGCACCCTTGCTGAAAATCAATCCACCATAAATGTAAGAGTTTTATTTCTGGACTCCCAGTTTTATTCCGTTGCTCTGTATGTCTATCCTTCTGTCAGTACCACACTGTCTTGATTAATGTAGCTTTGTAGTAAGTTCTGAAATTGGGAAACGTGAGTCCTCCTGCTTTGCTCTGAGTATGGTTTGACTTTTGACCTCAAACACTAGGGAGAGGTGTGTGACCAGAACAGCTAGAGATTTGCGAGCCCCACGCCCAAGGGCTTCATTTCAGGAGCGCAGGCTCCACGTTCTAAACTGACTTGAGAGACAGATTCCCACCCTCCCAGCCTGCAGCTCTTCATTATAAATCAATGGAAACATTCTGCAGAAAACAATGATCCCCTTGGGTTATTTCAAACATCACTTTAAGTCTTCCCCACCTGCTCTGTTCTCTAAATGCTCCTACAGAAATAGTGTCATTCACAACTGGATTATTAATGAACTGAGAGGAAGCCTGGTGGCAAGTTGGGGAGGGGGCGTTCAGAGGACCTGGCGGGCCTGGGGGCCTGGAACAAGCCCAACTCCACAGGTTTTCACTCCCCCAAGAAAGGTTGCCGTGTTTCCTTAGCAAACAGGAAATCACTAAACTCAAGTCACACTGTCGGCCTCAACAGAAAATTGCTAGGGACTAAGGACCCAGAGGAGCGTTTCAGAGGAGACTGCTGGAAACTGAGCTAACTCGTGTCGTTTTTAGTGGCCGTTGAGTTGCTCCCGACTTGTAGCGACCCTATGTACCACAGAACGAAACATCGCCCAGTCCTGAGCCATCCTTACAGCCGTTGCTATTTGAGCCTATTGTTGCGCCCACTATGTCAGTTCATCTAGTTGAGGGTCTTCCTCTTTTTCACTGACCCTCTATTTTACCAAGCATGATGTCCTTCTCCAGGGACTGGTCCCCACTGATAACACGTTCAAAGTACATGAGACAAAGTCTTGCCATCCTCACTTTTAAGGAGTATTCTGGTTGTACTTCTTCCAAGACAGATTTGTTCATTGGAACTGACTGGGTACAATCTCCAAAACCCCAGGTTTAAACCCCACCCGCTCCCCAGCTGACTGGCCCTGGGGTGCCATAGGGCGCTAATCTGGAGGCTGGGAAAGCTCTGGAAACAAGACCCTTTGTAGAGAAGAGCACTCTATTGTTCTGCAGCCAGTGTTAAGCAAGTGTAGATTCCAGAGAATGTTTTGGGATAGAGTTTTTTTCTCTTTGTTTTTTAACTTTCTCTCCTCTTCCAAAAGAGGAAGGGGGAGGGAGATGCTCTCAACAACAAAATAAAAATAGTTAAGTCCATTGTCCTGTAAAAAAAGGCTGGTGCTCAGGGTGCTGGGGCGTTCAGCCAGGCAGAGCAGCTGGCATTAAACGATACATTCTACCGCGTGCGTTTTGCTTTTTTTTTTTTTAATTAATCATAAAATCTCAGGGAAACATCAGCAATCTAGATACCGCATGTCTCAAAGGGTGGCAGACGTCAGTGGAGGTACGACCACTTCCTTCCTCTTTCACTTCACCTCCTTTCTTTCCAGAAAGGGGAAATGATGCGAGTCCCCGTTGCAGGCCACGAGCCCCGTGCTCCCACCTGGCCCTACCGATCTCTCCCCAGGGCTAGGCCTGGTCGGGCCCCTGGGCGTCCTGGGAGTCTTCAGGGCCAGGCTGCGTGGGCCCTCAAAGTAGGAGACTTGAATTCCGGGCACTAGCACTAATTCTGTGTGAACTTGGGCAGAGTCCCCTCCTGGGGGCACCTCTCTGGGCTTTACGCTGCTCATCTGTCAAATGGGAGCAAGAATACTGTCCTTGGCTTCCCCTTTGTATGCTGGTGATGCGGCAGGAGTGTAAGGAAAACTATTCGGAAGCCTGGCCTCGTCTCCTCCCAGCGCCCTTCTATTTCCTGCTGCTCAAAGGAGGGGCCCTGGCCCTAGAGGGCCCAGACCCTTCCTTTCTCCCCCGCGCTCTCCCGCCTGCTGGACCCGGTGGAATCCGGTGGAGCGCGCCCACCCGCTCCTGCAAGTTTAGGCCCCGCCCCGGGGCGGGGCTGAGGGGCGGTGCGGAGGCTGGCGGCCGAGCCGAGCCGCCTTCTGTCGCCGCACCGGCAGCTGCGGCTCGGGGTGGACTGACAGATCCAGCCAGGGCCGGCAGCGCCCGGGGCAGGGCTCCGGAGAGCGGGTGAGTTCCCGGGCGGCGCCGCCTCCCTCCCTGCGCTCTGAGACTTGACAGGTCGGACGGGGAGGTGGAGTCCCGGCATCCTTAATCTGGCCGGGGGTGAGGTGGTGCGTTTTGGCGAAGGGCCGGCGGTTCGGATTTGAATGGGGAGCGGGGGTGCGTATTGAGAAGGCGGGTACCGAGAGCGTAGGGCCGGGAAGTCGGCCCTGGGCTGGGGGCGTTCTCCTGGGCCTGGCGCTCCAGTGATGAGGCTGGGGTCGGGGGTGCGTTTGTAGGTTGTTGGCCGGGGCCTCGGTGGCCTGATCTTGGGCTGAGAAGGGGGTCCTTATCCGGTTCTGGATTCACTGGCCGCCGTCTGCCGGGGGTCGCAATACCGAGCGGCGGGAGCTCCAGCCTCACCAAACACCCCCCACTCCCAGTCCCCGGGCCCGGCATAGGGGCACCGCCCCCTCGCGTGGTGGCGCCTTCCCCGCGCTTCGCCCCCGCAGGCAGCGCTGGGGCTCAGGGAGCGCTCCTGCCTAGGCGGGAAAGGTCCCCAGGGCAGGCGCCCCCGCTTGCAGCCCCGCCCCGCCGTGAGATTTGGGCTGACAGTGTTCGCGGGCCCGGGAGCCCCCGCGCGCTGTTGGTCACTGGGAGAGGCGCGCCCGGCCTCTTGAAGGGGCTGCGGTGCGCCGGGTGCTAGGTGCCTAGCGCCAGGAGTGCTCACCTCCCCGCTTCGACTCCGGCCAGGAGGAGCGCCCCCGAGCGCCTGGGATGGACTGAAGCTATGCAGCCCGCCCCAGAGAGGTCGCGCAAAGGGGTCTCCCCAAGGTCACTCAAAGCGCCCTGGCTGAGCTGCCCAGACCACTCCGGGTAGGGAGCTGGGAGGAGGGGCTCCCGCTGCCCGCCTCCTTCCCTGCAGCGGCTCCTTCGCCCCCAACCCGGACTCGGCTTCACTGGAGATGCTACTGATGCAGCTCCTAGCCCAGGCGGAAAATTGAGCCAAGTCGAGCTTGGAACCTGGCCCTCCCTGGAGCCAGCGTTGTGCCGCCGCGGCGCTCAAGGCCTGGAACCGGTACTCGGGGCAGCTCGGAAACCGAAGGAGAGAGACCCGGCTGTACAGGCGCCTATCAGAACCGAAAGCCGAGCTGCTTGCGCGCCCATGTGATTAGATTCCACATAATGGGCCCCTGTTCTCGCTGTCAGAGGCGCCCACCAGCTCCCCGCGGCCCCCGGCACCAGGTGCCGCCGCTGAATTGCCCTCTGTGGAAGTCCCGGGGCGTTCGTTCCCTCAGGGCCCTCTGTGGAAGGGGTCTGTCATTAGACTTCTCAGCCAGCCAGGGTACTTCGCTGTGTACCCTGCCATTTCCTGCGGCCTTCTCTGGAGCTGGTAGTAAAGCTTTCAGGCTCAGCCGCCTACTAGCTGTCTTCACTTGGGACACTTGGCCTCTCGGACCCTCAGTTGCCTCAAGTAAGAAACGAGTCAAATAATCATGCTGAGGGAGGATGCAATGGGAGGTGCCTGTGAAGTGCTTGGTGCAGGAAAGCTGGCAGGAGGAACGCCTCTAGGTAAATGTTGGCTGTCTTTGATACTGGGTTTAGTGGGGCGGTGTCTTCTCTTTTAGACCCGAGCAAGAGTGGGAGCCCTGGTGGGTGGTTCTGCAGGGGCTGGGGGAGTTTCCACATCTTCCTGCCTCAGCTCTGTCATGAAAAGCCAGCTTGCTGAGGCCAGTGGGGGCCGGTTAATCCTTTCAGCTCCTTGCCTGCTCACAGGGCCTTCCCACACAAATCCCCCACCCCCTTCTCTCCTGCCTGTCATACAAACCCCATCTTCTCTGCTGGAGACCCCAGGATGCTGGGGGCAAGATATCAACCAGGACACTCTGGACCTTCAACTTTGCCCCTTCCTGTCCCTGGGGGTCTACCCAGCAATGTCCATCCACCTTAGAATCTTTCTGGCTCCTCTCCTGGCCCCAGTTCTTCCAGGCCTCTGGAATGTCTTCTTTCAGGAAGACGCTTTAGTCCTTCCTACCCCTCTTTTGGTCTCCTCCCACAGGGCACACACTGTGACATTCCTCTGCCTGTAGTGTGGTTCTTGTGTCAGGGCTCCGTGAGTCCTGTTGCTCTCTGCATCTTCCCTAGCCTGGAGGACATTGTATGCAAGGCCCTATGCACATGCAGACTTTGTTCTCTGGTAACTGACGCTGGGGTGGAGGTTCAGTTCTAATCTAGCTATTAAATCTGGTATGGAGCCTGAGCCACAAGGCGAAGAAGATGCTGATGCAGGGAGATGGTTTTTACCTGAGGCAAGAACTTTTCTGCAGAGCGCATTCGGACCCTTTGGAAGCTTAGGCCTCAGGTACTTCTCAAAACCAGCTCCAGACCCAGAGTGAACTTTCTCTACCGACAGAGGCTGCAATCAGCTGGTTTTGCAGATTGTAGAAGGCACAAACCTGAATTCTCATGCTGGGCTGGTTCTACTAAGTACACCCCACCTTCTCCCCGGGACCTGAAGCATTTGTTGGACTATGGGTCCCAACCGGTATTCTTCAGACGGACACACAGCACCCTTCTTTGCCCCGAGCACATCTTGATCGGGCTTCGGGGAGGCTTGGAGAAGCCTGTTTCTTAGAGAAAGCTACAAGTGATAAAGAGCAAGGGAGTGAGACAGGTCTAGTTCAAATTGTAGCTCTGTATTTAAAAGCTGTGACCCTGTGTAAATTACTGTCTATCTGAGCCCCGGTTTTCTCATCTGTAAAATGGGAATAATAATAATAATGCCTACTTCATGCGGTTATGAGGATTCTGTGAGATGATAATGCATCAAAAGTGCTTAGCACCGTCCCAGTGTGGGCAGTAATGCAGGAAATGATTATTGTCACCGTCATCATTTCCTCCTTTGTGCTGGGCGCTCAAAGGTCCCAACTCCTCCAGGGGTGTAGGGGGAATCAGACCCTGTCTCTTCTGCCCCAGCTACCAGGGCAGGGAATGCCTCTCACCTTGGGGAGGGCAGGGCGCTGACTCCTGGGAATTTGAGTCCAGGGAGTCTGTGAGCATTGGCTTAGCCTTTCTCAGCTGGCTGCCATTTTTCAGGATTCATTGATTCATTCAACAGACGTTTACTCGGTTCCAGATCTTGTGCTTAGCAAGGGATTTTGAGATGAATAAGGCAGCTCTCAGGAATCACGCTCCATGAGGTCTGAGAGGCAGGCCTGGAAACAGATACTGAGGACATGGTGTGATAAGAGCTTCAGTAGCAAGAAGTGGGAGTGAGGAGCAGTGGTGGAATAGGTGGGCTCAAACAGACCCAGGCTGGAATCCTGACTCTGCCACCTCTTAGCTGGGTACTGATGGGCAAAGAGCTCCCCTCCCAAGCAGATAATCTACCTGCCTACGCTGCTGCTGTTAGCAGAAAATGAGACAGTGTGGGTAAAAAACTTAGCACAGGGCCTTCTAGGTATTAGTAAGTGCTTGTACATGTTAGTTGCTGTTATTAGTTTATTATTACCAGTAACAGGTGGGTAAAAATTGCTGTGGGAGCACATTTGAGCCCTTCAGGGACAATGTTCCAGGTGGCAGGTAATCCAGGGGGAGGCATCCCGGGCAGAAGCACAAAGGCCTAAAGTACTTGGCGTCTTTGGAGAGCAGTGGGCAAGAGTTGCAGCCCCAGGCGTCACTGAGGCAGGGGCAAAGGGCAAGGCCAGGGAGGGAGGTAGAAGCCATCCTGCAGCAGGCCCGAATGATTAAAGGCTCACTGATCCGAGGCAGGCACCTGCAGCCTTGTCAGGCACAGCGCTCTGAGGAGGGTTATCTGCTTGTAGCACCTGAGAAAATTCCAGAATAACTTCTGCATGGGAGGAAGGGCTGGCCTGGGCTCATTGGCCAATACAGCCACCTTCTCTTCTTTTTGCTTCCCACCTTTCAAACACCACCCTAGGCAGGTAGGTTATCTGCTTAGGAGGTAAGCCACTGGTCTCCTTCCTCTTCCTGAGACGTGGTCTCCACCTCTGTACCTGTTTCTCTCTTCTTGGGGGACTCAGCTTTTCATTTGCAGGAAGGGGGTGTGGGTGGAGGAAGTGTCTTGGCCTGGCTCCCTGTTGATACTGGACTAAGTGTTTCTGTGGATGCCAGTAACTGCCCAGGGACTTTCCCTTCATTGCCATTAAGTCCTCATACCAACTCCTTGAAGTAGGTGCACTCATCATCCCCATTTCACAGAGGGGGCCACTGAGGTAGAGGGTGAGGTGATCTGATGAAGGGCATGCAGCTCATAATGGGCAGGAGCCCATGCCTGAGAGTCTCCAAAGGTGCCTGTGCTGTCCTGTACCACCTTCCTCACGGTGCTCTTTGTAAATATCTAAAGCTGACTGCAGAATGGCTGGCTTCTCTCACCCTGTGTACCCTTGGGTGCTGGTCAGTAGACACCTTGGAGATGGGGTCACAGTGGGTATACTCTGGGTACTTGGAATCTGCCCTTTTCCCTCTCTGCCCTAGTTTTTGAGAAGGCCCTGTGTGTAGGTGCTTGGGGGGGAGGCGTTCTTGGATGTCTTGGAGTCCAGGGCCGGCATTGCTCTGCCTGCTGCTGCCCCACAAATGTGCCTTAATGCAGGCAATTTGCAGCTTGACTGATGTGGCAGGTGGTGGCCGAGCTCCACAGTGGCCCCAAGATGGCTATTCAGATCATCATGTGACCGCAGACCCTCCCTGTTTACAGAAGATATCAAAACAAAGGCTCCAATTTCCTTTTCCAAGGGAGGCAAAGTTTAGGACGAGGGTTTAAATCCCAACTCTGCCTTTCACTGGCTCTTGGGCCTTGGGCAATTTCTTCACTACCTTGAGCCTCAATTTCATCTGGAAATAAGGATCATATATTCTATTATATGTAATTGCATCTATACAGCATTATATATTTATACCTTCTGAGTTGTCATAGGGATTTGTAATCATAGGTAAAGTGCCTGACTTCCAAGTGGTAGATAAAACCAAAAAAGCAAACCCTTTGCCCCTGAGTTGATTCCGACTCT